CAGCTCTTCCTTTCCATTGCCAAGCCATGAATAATCGGGAGAAATTTCTGCAGAAGCCGCAGCCGCACGCTGCTGGCATTAAATGTGCGCCGTCGGCAAAGGGCGTCTGTGCTTTTACACCAAGGAAACCTCTCAACCTGGGTACCCCTGCCCTCCCTCCCCGCGGTCCTTACTGCCCGTCCCTATTCCCCTGGCCCTCTCACGGCATATTTTTGGACCTTATGTAGAGGGGGGAGGTATTTTAGCAGCAACCCATAGCCCAGGAGATGGTGAGTCCATGCTTGGAGCCCAGCACAGCCCGGAGCCGTAAGCCATCGCTTACGGCATTTAAATATAATGGGGAGCCGTGCGCGAAGGTTACCATAAAAAGCAATGTCAGGGCAGCAGCATCTGATCCGGGTGCGGGCAGCTGGGCGGCAGGGTGACGCTGGGCGAGCTCCCTGATGACTTTTGCAGGTTGCTCCTCGTGCCGCAGCCCCGGTCTCGGTCAGGAGGAGAATATCCATCGGGTGAGCACATGAGAACCTTGCTGGCCCTGGTTATCCTCGGCCGGCAGGATTGCAAGGACACATCTTCTGCTTCAGCATCTCCGTGAGGGATGCTTGAACACAAATATTTCCCCTTGGCTTCTGGCATTTGCCCTTTGCAAACCGGTAAGGCTGAGGGACAAAAGCTTTGCCTCTGCACCCGCCGGTCCGGCACATCGGCACCCTCCGGGGCGAGCACGGTGGCGGAAAAGGAGATTTTAATAGGGGATGGAGCGGCTGTGCGGGGCTGCGAGCGCCCGTGGTTTTGTTTGCACCAGAACGCCTCTGTATCAGCCCTGCGTCTGATTACATCCAAAGCAAATCACAGTCATAAAATCAGATTTTTCTTTTTTGCTAATGTGCCCCCCCCCCGCCCCGATTATACTTTTTTGGGGTTGTGGTTTGTTTTTGTTTTTTTTTTTTTCAATGTAAAGAGATCAGAAAGCTGTTTGCTTGCCTCTCAGAAGTGAAAATCCTCACCCGGCTGTTCAGATGTATTTTTCACAACTGGTTCCTGGCCTTCCCCGCCCCCCAACCCCCAAATGACCCTATAATTTGTGGAGACTAAATTAATATATCCACAGCGCAACCCATTTCCTACCAACCCATAGCCCAGCACCAGCCCCGTCCCCACCAGGATCATTTGATTTACTGAAATTTGGGAGACAAGAGCAATGCTCCAGTTTCTGGCTTCCCCTCTTCTGTCGCATTCAAAAATATTCTCTCTCGTCTTCGCCGTCAGATGTTCATGTTTCCTCGATTTGTAACACATTTTAATAATATGAATCTTCCCGTAGCCTGGCTAATTGCTGGCTGCTGTTAATCCCGTGTGAGGGATAGAGCTGGGCAGGCCTTGCTGGGGTTTGCAACCCCAGAAATTGCCTGAAAAAAGCAAAAGTTGCTGCAGTGAGTATTTATTTTGCACTTCGCATTTATTCTTCCTGGACTTTTGATCCAGCTCCTCTCCCCTCTCATTCCCTTTCCAAACACGGTATCGGGGAAATACCACATTATGGGGGAAAAGTTGTTTATTTTTTCCTTTTTGGTTTGCTCGACGGAGTTAACAGCTTTTGTTCTCTGCAGCAGCTTCCGTCCCCCATCCCAGATAAGGCAGCTCTCCATGTTCTCGAATACAGCAGCTGGAAGAGAGGGGAAAAACTGTTAAAAATAAAGAACTAATGGTAAAAGCATAAGGGCTGGCAGGAGGAGTCAGAAGCAGGTTGGGACCTTCAAAGTACTTTTACCAGGCTTTGCAGAATTGGCTCCATTTTTATTATTAGCCGTTAAAAACACACCCTTGGACCCGTGAGTTGACCTTCACGAACCAACCCAAGCGCGCACCCCTAGCTCTCCTCCCAAACACCGGACCCTGGCGAGGCCTTGCAAATCTTTAACCAAATCCTTTCTTCGAGCCTCCTGGAAGATTGCAATGACAGCAAAAAAAAAATAAAAAAAAAATTTACGTGTTTGGAACGGGCTTTGTTTAAACCCCTGGGTATTTTTGGTCTGAATCCTGAATGATAGGGAAAATCTTTTTAGTAGGGCCAGCTGGGACAGGACAAGGGGGGATGGCTTTAAACTGAAGCAGGGTGGGTTTAGACTGGATCTAAGGAAGAAATTCTTTACCATGAGGGTGGTGAAAGCCTGGCAGGGGTTGCCCAGAGAGGGGGTGGAGGCCCCATCCCTGGGACCATTCCAGGCCAGGTTGGCCGGGGCTGTGAGCAACCTGATGTGGTTCAAGGTGTCCCTGCTCCTGCAGGGGGGTTGGGCTGGGTGACCTCTGGGGGTCCCTTCCAACCCAAAACATTCCGTGATTCTATGATTTGGGGATTTTTGGCTGGGAGATTGCCTTGGTGGCTGCATC